CCATCCATCCATCCATCCATCCATCCATCCATCCATCCATCCATCCACTTACTTACTCATCATCCACCCTTCCATCTTTGCTCCTGAATCACGCTTCCCATCCTCCTTCTCACATAACCACTTGTCCATCCATCGAGCCACAGCCCTGGCAACCATCTGCCTGTGTAGCCAACTGTCTTTCTAGGAGTCCACTGTTCCATCCCATCTAGCCAGCCAGTCTGTCATCCAGCCACCCACCCATCCAACTGACAAACCAACCAACACTGGCAAGCTACCCAGGGATGGTCAGGGTGCAGTGAGGGAGGAGAAACCGGACAACAGTGATGCGGTGCCTGCCCTCAAGGGGTTAGTTACCCTCTTAGAGGGCAGGACAGGTGACCTGAAGCCTTTGAGACTTCATGTACAGTAGCGTGAGAAGGCTGGGGTCACGAAAAACTTTTTAGAGGAAGTATGCTTTTTGCTGGGCCTTTCAGAGAGTGGGATTGAAACAGACTGGAGGGGAGGAAGCAAAGAGACGAGTGGCAGGTGGCACTGCTCTTTGCAACAAAGAGCAGGGCGGGGGCTTTGACTGCTGGGAAAATGTGGCTCTGCTCTTGGGTCTCTCTAGTCTGATAGGAGAAGCACTGGTTTTGCCTCCAGGAACCCTTTGGTGTGACAGCCCCCTCCCCCCCCACTCCTTAGTCTCCTGGTGCCATTTTTCCGGGTCTCACTTTGAAAGGCTCCCTTGGGGCTCAGAGACCCACCTTTGGTGGCCTGCCCGGTCCCCTCCATCCCAGGAGTACCCTGTGGGACATTCACCTTCCAGTGTGAGGACCGCAGCTGTGTGAAGAAGCCCAACCCAGAGTGTGACGGGCAGTCGGACTGCAGCGATGGTTCAGATGAGCAGCACTGCGGTGAGCCTGCCCCGGGGTGGCTGGGCATGGAGACCAGGCCTCGGGGTGGGGCAGGAGCCCTCAGGGGGAAGCAGGAGGGGAGTTCCACCAGGAGTCTGTTCTGGCCTTTACCACCTTTTCCTGGCCTATCCCCCCCCCCACATCATCTCTCCATCACTTTCCTTTGTTTTTTGTCTCCATTTCTCACAGCCTTTCTTCCTCTCTTCTCTGTCCACCACCACCCCCGCCCTCTCCCAACCTCAGACTGTGGCCTCCAGGGCCCCTCCAGCCGCATTGTGGGTGGGGCCGTGTCCTCCGAGGGTGAGTGGCCATGGCAGGCCAGCCTCCAGATCCGGGGCCGACACATCTGTGGGGGGGCTCTCATCGCTGACCGCTGGGTCATGACAGCCGCCCACTGCTTCCAGGAGGACAGGTGAGGGGATGACGCAGGGCCTGGAGGCAGGCATAGGGTAGGCCACGGGAGGTACAGTGTATGCGAACTGTACTCAGACAGAGGAGAGGGTAGAGAAGAACCTCGGACTGGCCCCCATGACACGTGGGATCTGGTTTCACCCCAAACATGCTGTGTGTCACTAGGCTGGTTGTTCAGCCGTTTGTGCTCCTCTCTTGCTTTAAGTTGAGGTGACTGTCATTTACTCCTCCTCCTGCATGCTGGGGGCTATGCTGGACGTTAGGGAGATAGTGGAGGAGACAACTGTCCGAGCCAGGCACAAGGCATATCTTCTACCATAATCTGAATTGCGATGGGGTAGAGGGTTGGGCCAGGGAAGCTCTCAGGGGACATCTCACTGGCCCCCAAGCCTCTTTCCCTGGTGAGCTGAACTCTTTCTGGACCTAACCAGATCTGAGCCCCAAGTCCCTCAGGCCTCTCCCACAGAAGCCAGCCCTCAGCAACCTCTATTGGCTTCTGCGGGAACTGTTTGTCTTCTCCAGGCACACTCCGCTCTGCCCACCTGCCCTCTCACCTCTCCGCCAACTTCTTCCCCAAGGCCCTTGCCCACCCACCTTGCCGAGTCTGCAAAGTGGGCTCCAAACAGGGAAACTCTGCCCCAGAGCCTGGCACTGGGCTCTTCCGGTGTCTCCTTGGAACATGGAAGTTCAGAATGTACCCATTTCATAGATGATGGGATTGAGGCCCAGAGAAGGCCTTAGCTAGGGAGAAATGAGGTTGGGGGTGGGGCCTAGACATGTGCTCAGTTAGCACCGCACACCAGGCAGGGGCTTGAGAGAAGGGCAGAGAGACTGTGTAGAGGGAGACAGGAGCCTCCCACCCTCAGCAGGGTCCCCGGATGGAAGGGAGACCGAGCAGCTCAGCTCTGACTCCTCCCCCTGCCTCCCGCCCAGCATGGCCTCTCCCAGGCTGTGGACGGTGTTCCTGGGCAAGATGCGGCAGAACTCGCGCTGGCCAGGCGAGGTGTCCTTCAAGGTGAGTCGCCTGTTCCTGCACCCGTACCACGAGGAGGACAGCCACGACTACGACGTGGCCCTGCTGCAGCTGGACCACCCTGTGGTGTACTCGGCCACCGTGCGCCCCGTCTGCCTGCCTGCGCCCTCTCACTTCTTCGAGCCGGGCCAGCGTTGCTGGATCACAGGCTGGGGAGCCCTGCGTGAGGGTGGTGAGCAGGGGCAGGTGGTGGGAGCTGGGATAGGCTTGGAGGAGGGGGGGCCTGTCGGGGTGGCGTGAACTTTGGGGTGAGGGTGGGGGTCAGGTGGGGCTCCTCATTACTGCAGATTGCACTGAGGGGAAGATGTCATTTAAGCCACTCGGCTTGGGGGGGGGAGGGGTACTATGGACCCATTACGTCGATGAGAAGACTGAGGCTGAGTCCCTTAGTTACTGAAAGTCCACCCAGTCAAGAGAGCTGGATAGGAGCTCGGATCAAGGACTGGACCACGTTCTGGGGTCCCAAGAGTTTTCTGCTACTGCTGCTGATTCCTGGCCTTAACTGACAGGAGCTGCCGTCTCTGGAGGCTGCTCCTCAGTTCTGCAAACACAGGGTTGACTGGCTTACCAGTCTTGACTGCAACCCTGGCACCCGGAAGCAGGCGGCAGGTGTTCCGTGGTGCTCGGGATTAAAGGGCTTCACGTGTGCCAAGACATATGCTCCACCATCCAGCCACACCTCAACTTTGATGGAGATAGACTAAAAAGGGGGGACTCTGAGCCTCAGAAAGGTGACTCGGCCAAGATGATGGAGGCAAAGCAAGGGCTGCTCGCCCTGGTCCCTCACTCGGTGACACACATATGAGCACCTACTATGTGTCAAGCGCTGAGGCAGACAGGGGGCATGGAAATGAGAACGCTCTTGGGAGAGGTAGATGATGGTATGAGCCACCACATACAGGAACAGGAAACAGCCCGGGGAAGGTACCCACCCGGCATGGCCAGGAAGGGTCTACCTTGAGGCTGGAAAGTCTACTGAGTGGCTCCTGGGAACCAGGTGTTCGTGGTGAAGGCTCAGGGGCCAGGTGGAAAGAGCTGAGACTGTTCCCAGCCACCAGCTGGAGGGGGGCCAGGGCAGATGTGGCTAGGGGAAGGCCTTGGAGGACAGGCGGGCAAAGACCCGGGACAAGAACTGGACTGAACAGCAGGGACCACTAAGGAGTTATGAGCACAGCAGAGGCCTTGCACATCTGTTTGATAGCATCTCCCGGGGGCCACAACAGAACGCAGAGAGTCCGCCTGTACCTGAAAGCCCTTGAGAAGAATGAGGAAAGGGAAATGCTCTAATGGGCTTTTCAGGGCCTGTGGAGGCTCTTGTTAACGAGCCATGCAGGGGAGTCAGAGGTGACAGGGTAGAGTGGAAAGGGGACCAGCGCGGTGGGGAGCAGGTTTCTAGACCCTCCTTTCTGCTCCTGCAGGTCCCAGCAGCAGCACCCTTCAGAAGGTGGATGTGGAACTGGTCCCTCAGGACCTGTGCAGTGAGGCCTATCGCTACCAGGTGACCCCGCGCATGCTCTGTGCTGGCTACCGCAAGGGCAAGAAGGATGCCTGCCAGGTAACTGCCTATCTGTGGGGTGTGGGCTGAAAGGCATGCTCATGGCTGCAAGAGGCACATGGCCGACTCCTGAGGTCTGCTTCTTGCTATCCTGAGACCTTGGACCAGCGGTCACACGCGGGCGGCTGAAGGCAGAGCCTCACCCTGAGGCGGTCATGTCTCTCCACCTCTCTCTTAGGGCGACTCTGGAGGTCCACTGGTTTGCAGGGAGCCCAGTGGCCGCTGGTTCCTGGCAGGGTTGGTTAGCTGGGGCCTGGGCTGTGGCCGACCTAACTTCTTTGGCGTATACACTCGTGTCACCCATGTGATCAACTGGATCCGGCAGGTGCTAACCTGAGGGGCTGTTCTACAGGGCTGGACATGTTTCCGGCCCAAGCTCCTGTCCAGCCAGGGCACAAGTATTTTGGAGCAAATGATCCTGCTGAGGTCTGTTCCCCCCAAGGCCTACCCCCGTGAGAGCACAGAGAAGGAATGTCAGCTGTCGGCTGGGATGTCTCCTGAGATTCAGGGGCCAGCCTCGTCATGACTTCACCTCCAACCCTTTCTCATTTTGGTCATTTCCTCTCTCCCCCTCCTGCCAGTGTCTTGCGTGAGGTCTGGGGGCCATGACGCTGGCTCCCAGGTCTCAGCAGGAAAGTAAGATTCCTTCCCCTTGCAAAAGCCTCTTGGGGAGGGGCTCGGAGAATACATTCCAGGCCGGGAGCTCCAAGTACCTAGACAAAAGGTGCCTCCATCAAGGGGAACCCTCAGAGCCCTTGAGACTGCCAAGTGGGCCACACCGTAAGCCAAACCATGGGGCAGCCCCAGGGGCAGGTCCTCCCTGCCATTCACTGGAGGCCCACCGCCTGTTCTGAAAATAAACCGCTTCACCAAGCCCCGAGGCTGCTATCTGAGGGGCCCCTCACGTTCAGCGCCTGGCCAGTCGCAGAACAGACCTGCTCCTGGCCTAGCCTCCGATGACGTGTGCAGAGGCCCCTGCGGAGCTGAGGGAGCCACGGCAGGCTGGAAAACAGTGGCCTCACATTTTACAACCAGCACCCATGCCATGTTGTTGGGCCGGTTCGGGGGGGGGGGGGGGGCCGGGGGGGGGTTGAGGGGGGGGGCAGCCGGGGGGGGGGGGGGGGGGGGGGGGGGGGGGGGGGGGCTCGCGGAGGCAGTTGAAGGGAGATGAAGTCCAGGGAGGAGGGGACAGACTGCTGGAGCAAGCCAATGGGGATGGGCTGGAAATTTCACACACAGGGGCGCCCCCTGGAGGCAGTGGTGAAAAATGTCAAGTGCCTTGAGCTCCTCTGGAACTGACAACCCAGGCTCCTCCTCAGTGGTAGAAAAGGGGTGGGGGGGAGAGGCTGACCAGGAAGCAGTGGGAGACACTGAATCCTGCTAGGAAGGAGAAGGGCCTGGCAGCCTCTGGCGCCCCTGTGGGTAAGGCATGAAAGGGTCTCCCTTGGAATTCCTAGCCCTTGGGGGTTCTGCTAAAGTACAGGGGTCCCACCTATTCGCTATTAATCTTAAAACAGGTGAGGAGGGAGGACCACATCCGGGTGAGGTAGCCAGGTGTGCCCGCACTACTTAGGCTACAGTAGGACTGTAGGGCAGGTACCCTCAACTCTGACCCCTGGGTGCAGGATTTAGGCATAGCCTGACTTCTCCCCCCAGGACCCAGGAAACTGACAAAGAATAGCCCCGTTTCTTGGAGTGGCTCTACCTGGCCTGAATGTTAAGCCCTGTCCCCAGAGAAAGAGGGAGGCAGCCAGGCCAGCCTGTTTGTTCAGGTTTATTTCATAGTGGGTGGGACACAAGTGACAGATGTGTGCCCAACCTCAACCCAGGGGGTCAAGACACCAGGAGGGGCAGCTCAGCCCCTGTCACACCTGCCCCTCCCCCATCACAAGTTCCTGGGCAGCCTCACGATTTGCCAGTGCACTTTGCTGCCAAATACATAATGGCACAGGGGAGGGGCAGCCAAGGTGATACCAAGTCTGTCCCTTCCTTCCTGCATGGCTAAGTCCTAGCATTGTCCCCCACCAGTATCTGAGGGCACGGTGTCCCCTTTCCGGGACAGGCTGGAGTCCCTCCCCCCAGAAGGTCATGATTGCAGCCCACACACTTTGTGCTTCCGGGAACCCCGTGACCCTCCCTGATTCTCACAACAGCCCTGTGAGGTAGGTGGGAGTAGGGGTTGACCCTATAGTGCCATGGAGACTGAGGCTCAAGGGGGTGCTATGACTGGGCAGGTGGGAGTGTATCGGCCATGCAGCAGGGGGACCCAGGCGCAGGGACAAAAGGGCCTGGGAGATATGGGTGGGCGGCGCCACACTTTGGCCATGGCACGTGACTCTTGCCTGAAGACCCCAGGGCCCACCTCAGGCCTTCCAAAGTCCCAGAGGGCCCCAGGCCCAGGCCTGGAGGCAGGAGTCTCAGCCCGGCAGATGCAGGCAGCAGTGACAAGGGAGAGGGTAAGTCTTCCTCCTCGGGCCAGGGGCCCACCCCGTGGTACAAAAATAAAGGATTTCAGATCGGAACCCCAAGTCCCTGGAGGTGATCTGGGGGCTCACATCCGGGTGCCTCTGGCTTGTAATAGCTAGAAAATAAGAGAGGGGAGGGACAGAAGGAAGAGGAAAGGGGGTCAGAAAACCAGGGTGGGAAGGTGAGGACAGGGTGATGCCAGGACAGAAGAGTTGGGGGAGAGTGGGGGAGGGAGGGAGAGAGGGAGAGAGAAAGGCAAGTGAGTCCCAGGCTGGCTCTGGAGGAGGGGTGGGGCTGAGGCCCAAAGGAGGCGGAGTCAGAACCGAGGAGGGGAGAAGCTGACTTCTTGGGCTGCTGGCGGCAGCCTGTTGGTAGGACACGGATGGGAGCGGCAGATCACTGCTTTCCCAGCCCCAAAGGGGCCACCGAGAGCGGCTGCCTGCCCATCTTAGAATCTAGCTGTGGCCCAGAGAGAGGCAGTGACGTGCCCAAGGTCATTCAGGGAGATAAGGCTGACTGGCGGCTAAGGTCAACCAGTCAGAGAGCAGATTTCTGTCACATTATTGGCAGGCTCTTGCCAACTCACCAGCCAAGGGGCACCACATACGGCCTAGCCACCCGCTCCACAGAACTAGGGGACGAAGTACCCTCATGCAGTACTGCGGGAGCTTCTGGACATGCGGGATGGGGCGGAGGCAGCTCCCCTCCCCTCCCCAGCCTGGCTCCGGTGCCTTCTGATTACAGGCAGGGCAGCAGGCAGGAGAGTCTCCACCTCTGACTCGGTTCTCAGGGCCTCAACCCAAGGACCAGATAAATCGAGAAAGACTTTGGTGGGTGGAGAGAATCAGCCAAAAGCCCGGCTTGAGTCCAAGGACAAGATATGAGCACCCTCCTTTGCTTCCGCCCCTCCCTCCAGCTCTGCCAGGCTACAAACCAGGGGCGGCAGCTCTGGGGGCGGGCGCGGGGCCGAGGAGCTCTCACAGCAAGCTCAGGCTTGGGTCTGGGAGGGTGCGGACAGGGACCTGCAAGGAGGAAACGTGAGGAGGCAAGCGGGAAGAGTGGGGCCTGGGGCCAAGGCCAGCCTCAGAAGTGCTCTGCTGGGTTGGAGGACATAGAGTAGATGCGGCCACGCCCCTCCTCCCCAGGCCAGGAGGCAGAAGGGGCCTGAAGGGGCGAAGGAGGCGGCAGGCAGGATGTTTGGGGATGCAGGGCCAGGGGGCCCGGGGAGAGGGCACCAGAGACTGGGACTAGGGCAGCCCCAGGGTGGAGACGGGAGCAGGCGGAGAGGAAACCTGGGCAGGGGCAGAGAGGGAAGAGGCAGGGTGCAGATGAGATCCAGGAGGAAGAGGAGGTGGATGAAGATGAAGCAGGACCTCCAGCAGGAAGCGGAGGAGGAGGAGGCGGTGGTGGGAGGGAGAAAAGGTTAGCGGGATCCTGAGATGACAGGGCTGCAAGAGAAAGTGAGAGAGGGATGGTTATGGGCGAGGCGCCAGGCGCTGAGCTAACCCTGGTGGCCCTCCCCCGCAGTTCCCGGCGGCAGCTGCTCCAGCAGGGAGAGGGCGGGAGGCCCCGGCTGTCATTAGCAATCGTCCTCTTGGGGGCGGGCTGCACCTTTCTCCTGGGCATCCGCCTCCACCTGCACTTGGGACACCTCCACCTCCTCCACCTCCTGCCGCTGCCGCTCCTCCAGCTGCTCGTCCGTGCTCTGCGCACCAGCCGCCGACCAGGGAAGAGAGAGTGGAGACACTGACGAGGGGGCGGGGCTGCGGGCGGCTGTCCGCAGGGACCCCCGACCTCGGGACAGAGGGGTGGGAGAGGATGAAAGGGACCTCTGGGAGAGGGAGGGCTGCAGCCAAAGCAGCTGGTGGGTCTTCCCTAGCCCGGAGGGGATGCTCAGAGACCAGTCAGGCTGCTGCTATAAAGCCGGAAGACCGGAAGAGGAGCCACTGGGATTCTGGGAAAGCCTTACTTTGGGAGGATGGATCCAGAGCAGGAAGCCAAGGTTGTCCCAGGGCAGTCACCAGCCAGATCTAGATGCCAGCAACAGTGTCTGGCAGCCTGGGCCAGGTTGGTGACACAGGGAATCAGAGCAGCAGGGCGCCCTGCACTCTTACAGGGAGAAGCCACCGGCATGGGGGGAGGAGGGATGGCAAAGGGATTACAGCAGGGCCGGGTGTGGAACACACAGAGTGCCTAAGACTCCAGCGCATGGACACAGCTCCTGCCTTTCCAACCTGGACCATGCCTATTGTATGGTCCCTATTGCAGGGCCCTACTCAATTCCACCCCATGGGCTGGCTGTCAACTGTGCTCTTGGGAACGTGCTGCCTAGGCCAGAGCCCATGGGGCTCCTGATACCCTTCAAGCAGGCTACCTAAAAGGCACAGGGAAGGGTAGGACTGTGGGATATCCCCATCCTGACCTAGGCTGACACTAGATTGTCACTAGTTCTGGGAATTAAACTAGCAGATGGGAGCCAGGAGTGCCAGCCTGGGATCAGCAGAGCTCACGACCCACCTGTCCCTTCACGGGGAACGCAGCAAAAGATGTGAGAAGAGAGACTTGCCCAGAGTCATAGAGAGGAGCAAGGCACGCCCGGGCCCCTAATTCAGTGTGCTCTGCCTCGTGCCTCAACTCCTGCCCATGTGGCCCCTTTACAATGCCCCATGAATAACAGGCATCAAGCCCACTCTGTCTGTGCCCTTGCAATGATCCTCCTGACTGCTCCCCAGCCTGGGCCAAGGGTGTGAGCTGACTGGACTGTAGTGGCATGGGATGGATGGCATTGGCTGTGACCATGACCATGAGTGTTATGTGGGTGCAGCAGGAGGGAGGAGGAAGCAGCAGAGTGGGGGGAGGGGTGCCGTGTTCACCCAGGGCAGGGACTCACCTTGGTCTTACGGCTGGACTCTGAGCTCAGGCCGTGTGGGGAGCTGTGGAGCTCCTTGGACACCACACACAGGAACTCGGCCTGGTCCTCGCTGCCGTAGTTATAGGAGGAACCGATGTTCACCAGCTGGAGGGCGAGACACCAGGAAGAAAGGGATGAAGCGTGGGGTAGGTAGGGGGCAGGAGAGACACGGGGACTGGCCTGTGCAGGAAGCCCCTGGTCTTCCAGAGCCAGAGCATAGGAAGGCAGTGTCCTTGGTCCCCACCAGCACCTCTCCAGGCATGACCAGACCTGACCCAGAAAGAGAGGGTTATATCATCCTCACCCTACCCTACAGCCAGGTGCTACTTTTTGAAGCAAGTGAAGTCCGCTTCGCCCAGACATTGCTGCAGCAGCCCCCAAAACTAGGGTTGGCGGAGTAGAGCCCATGGGATATTCCTTTCATTCCCAGAAGAGGCAGCCAATTCCTGAGGCTATAGGGCCCAGGCTGCTGACCTGCTGGCTGAATCCTCTGAGAGGCCGAGCAACTGCTCAACACCCTCTCAGGTTCCGAGTGATCTCCTTTGCTCTAGTGTCCTGAAAGCCACACCTGTGCAGCCCTTCTGATAAAAAAAAAAAAAAAAAAAAAAAAATGCCCCGAGCTCTTGGGACCCACTCAGCAGGCAGTAGGGTCAGCTACTGGAGATGGAGAGCCTGCACTGGCAGGAGGCAGGCCAGAGACAAGCCAGGGAGCTCTCCGCTTCCTCCCTGGAGTCCTGCAGATTTACTCACACCATTTCTAGGTTTTCTGAGACAGGGCCTCAGACTCACTATGCAGTTGAAGGTGACCCTCACTTCCTGCCTCTGCCTCTTGAGTGCAGATGTGGCTACTGGAGTCCTGCCCCAAACTAGAACCTCTCGTCTCAGCTTCACAAAGGACTTGTGAAGGAGGTGCCATGAGCTCACATCCCAGCTTGCAGAGGCTGGGAGAAGAGCTGGCTTGCTTGAGCAGGAGGAGAGACAGAGGGCAGGGCTGGAAGATGAGGTGTCCTCCCTGTCCCAGCTGGCTGGTGGGTCTTCCTCCTAATGGCTCTCCTGGAAGGCTGGCCTTCTCCTCTCATTCCCATGTGGAAGAAAGTTGGTAGGCTAGGCGCACCGAGAATTAGCTCGGTTCTTCTCTTATTCTCAGGACAGACTGAACCTTGGGTCCCTTTGGGGGTTCTGTGCCTCCAGAAACCCAAGGGGCAGAGCAAGGCTATGTGGCAGATAACAAGAGTCTCCCGTGGTGACCCACATATGGCCTGGAGGCACAGCCGGTCACACAGCCTTGGGAAGACACCACCTGGGGCTTCCAGGAAAGGGGGATCCTTAGCACTGTGTCTGTCTGTCATGAGACCCTGTAGGGCATGCCTGGGGCAAGGCAGGGATTCTATTCAACTCTGGTTCTGGTTTCCTACACCTGAGTTGTCCCTGAGGGCCAGAGACTGGCTGCTGTCCAGATCCCCAGGGACTAGGATGCCCAGTGACAAGGGTTCTCTGCCTCACTCCTTCCTCCTTCTCAGTCCACCCAGCAGGCTCTTTCTTTCTTTCTTTCTTTCTTTCTTTCTTTCTTTCTTTCTTTCT